TTTTTTTCAAAATGAGCTCATGCTTGTTTTTCCCTTTTCTTTTTCTTTATTACTTTTCTTTTAATCTTTATTTGTTACTTTGAATGATTTGATGTAGTGCTGTCTTAGCTCAACTCATTTTGAAGGAGAAGTTACACCATCTAGGGGTTTTAGGATGTGTTATGTGCATTTCTGGTTCTGTTGTCATTGTCGCACATGCACCACAAGAGCGTCCCATTACTTCTGTTCATGAATTATGGACTATGGCAACTCAACCAGGTAGTTTTTGTTTTCTTGTTTGCTTTTGTATTTTATGCTTTTAACATTTATAATTGATTGACTTTACTCTTTGTATTTCAGCGTTTCTACTTTATGTGGGTTCAGTCATAGTGTTGGTCTTCATTCTGGTCTTCCATTTTGCACCTAGATGTGGGCATACAAATGTGCTGGTTTTCACTGGAATTTGTTCATTAATGGGTTCTCTCTCGGTAAGTCCTTTGAATTGTCTGGTGGCTTACTTTTGACCCAAAGATATGCCATTTTTCCTTTCCTGCAAACTCCTTTGTTGAACCTTTATGAAGTCTTTAGGATCTTACTAGAGTTGATTTCAAATTTTAGATGGAAGAGATTACATCACATTTGGAGTCCAGAAGTTTATTAATGTGACTGATTGGTCAAAAGTTCCAGTGATTAGGTAGAGTGTTTCACTTCTGAAAGAGATCAAATTGTACTGTTAAAATGAAGGCTTTTGAAGCATTTAGTGCTTGAGATTGATGAGGACAATTAGTTGATGCTAAGTGGGTAAAAAGCTCCACATTGAAAAGATACAAAGAGGACAAGTGGCTTAAATATAGTCGCACTACTACCCCTAATGCCAATTGATCTTGGGTTGGATGCTCATTTTACATTTAGCCCCCCTTGTTTACTTAGCATGGTTTGTTGTGTTTTAAGGGCCCAGTTGTGTTTAAGAGTTGACAACAACTTGGTTAATTGGAAATGGATCTCTTCTTCTATTCTTCACAAGCAAAAGAGGACTTATTCTTAGCACCTGTGTCTGATGGAAACATTTTGCTTCTAAGTTTTTAAACTAATCTTTTACTTAAATATTGTCATCTTCTTGGAAAAAAGAAAATGAATGCAATCTTTCCCTTTTCATAATTGATATCATATGACTTGTGTCTCATGTTTTATCATTTATGTTTTGTGGGCATGTGAATATGCAGGTGATGAGTGTCAAAGCCCTTGGAACTGCAATCAAATTAACCTTTGAGGGAAAGAACCAGTTAATCTATACAGAGACATGGACTTTTTTGTTGGTTGTGGTTACATGTGTCATTACACAAATGAATTATCTTAACAAGGTTAGTTTTGAATGTTAGTCAATGATCTCTAGTTAACTTCTTTTTTGGCCAGTACCTCAAGTTAACTTCTTGACATGTTCTGTGCTAAGAGAACAATTGTTTCGTTTCAGGCACTTGACACATTCAATGCTGCAGTGGTGTCCCCTATTTATTATGTTATGTTCACATCACTTACAATCCTTGCCAGTGTGATAATGTTCAAGGTAGTCTCTTCTAACCATGGATGGCATCTTGCTTCAAATATATCTTAATTTATCTTTGCTGGTCAAGCTTGACTCACTAGTACACAATCTCTGAGACTTAGCTTTATTCAGTTATGAATTGATTTCAAACTTGCAAGGGATTGATTAAAAGAATTGGCTTTAACACAAATAGAACCATAGTAATTCCAAGAAGCATTTTTAAGTCTGATTTTCATACAATACATGGGAGGGTTGGAACCATGGACCAGAAGAATTAAAATAAAGAATTTCATTCCAGAACTTAATGTGTTATGGAATAACAGATTGGCATGCTCTCAACCTAGCAATGTCTTAGGGAATGCCAACCCTTCCTAGTTAATTAGGAGCATTTACTTGCTGGAAATCTTCAGTCATTCCTATGTGATGGATTGAGATATATAATTATGTATTTTATTTCATGATTGAAATTTAAATGAAGTATACACCCTAATTTTGGGATTGTATTATTCTAGGACTGGGATGGGCAAAGCGTGGGAAGCATCATATCTGAAATTTGTGGTTTCATTGCCGTGCTCTCTGGGACTATTTTGTTACACTCAACCAAAGATTTTGAGAGAAGTTCATCCTTTGGAGGTGCCTGAATTTGTATTACTTTTTCCCTTTTCTCCTTATCCATTTCTCAATGGAACCTTCAATCCTGGTAATTGAATTATTTTAGGTTAATATACTCTAAATCTTATAAATCCAGGTAGCTATGCACCCGTATCCCCCAGATTGTCTACAGGACTTATCAATCAGCATGATGAAACTATAAAGCAGGAAGAGGAGGATTTGTTGCATCCTGAGGAAGCTGGCTTCAGGAAACAAGAATTATTCTGAGATGGGCGACATTATGGAGTGGGAACCCTCTCTCCATTTCATGACTTGTGTAAAATTATAGGGGAAGGTACTCAAGGTTTCAAAAGCTCTTGAAGTAATATGCCCT